GAGGTGTCAATCAAAAAATATTGATTCAAAGTGATTTAAAATTATAGAGATAAAGTGATTAACAAAGTGACTTAACATTATAGAATTAATTATGCATACCGTATATCTAGATTATTTAAAAATAAATAGATTATAATTGAAATTGTATTTATAATCTAAGAAAATTCTAATGAAGAATCTGGTGTGGCATGATAGATAATTATATAAAAGAATAATAGTGAAGAATCTAAGTTTTTTTTCACATGCTGAATAATATAATAGAATTTTATGAGAGAGTTTATTTTGGGAGATAGTTCTATCTTATCTCTCGTGGATTTGATTAGAAAATATATTTCAATTATCGTAATGTTTTCGAAATATTTTGTTGCTTTTAATAAAAATTTCTGAATATTTCTAAATATTGAAAAAGAAATTATTCCAAAAAGCAAGAAATATCTTAATAAAAATAAAAGAATTATAAAAAATAATTAAAATAAATATAATTATAAATAATTCCTTATATTAAAATAATATAAGGAAAAGAAACTTATCACAACTTTGTTATCTTTATCATATTATACTGTAATAATGGTAAAAATAAATTATTAACATAATAAGAGATAAGACACATCAGAATAAAAATTATCAATTGTCGCTACTCTATGATTAGATGATACAAACGTATCGTTTGTCTTTATGAATAAACAATAACACAATTTATTTCGCAAGACAAGGTAACTACCTTACTGAGCACAGAAGAAATATAAAATTGCAATTTATTAAATATTTTTAAAATAATTACATGTTTTATTAATAACACTAATTTCCAATTTTTTTCATTGTTTGGAACCAGAAACAAAGTATTTCTTACAAATTTTTGGATGCTGAAAACGATGCTCAAGCCAATTTTTCACATCAACTTTCCGAAATAATTGAGATTTAACATGCAAAAAATGGTTTTTTGCAATATTTAAATCTTTTTGCTGAAATGGTTAATATTATTTTGAAATTTTGATCAAAAGTCACGAATAAAATGCATTATTTTATTTCAATATATTATTTTTAGACATGTTAGAAAGAATTTAAATACAGTTTTGCTGAATAAGGAAATATTCCGCCTATGATAATAAAGTCATAATTATAATATATTTTTTAGTTTGAAGCTATCGATACACATATACAATATAACTTATCGTGATAGATTCCACTAAATGTATATTTATATATAATGCTTTATTTCAATTGCCCACCTTGAACTTTTCGAAATAAATGTTCCAAACAAAAGTTGTATGATTTAAAGGAAGACAAATAATAATAAAATCAGTTTTGGAAAAAATAAATTTTTCCAAAAAAGTTTTTTTTTTTTATTCAAAGAGCATCTTTATATGAGAAATAGTTCTCAACTTTAATTTCTATAACATAATTAAAAAGTAAGATATTAAAACAAAAAAATGCATTTTATAAACAATACATTCATGCTATCTGATCAGACTTTTCAGATAATATTAATCATTTTTACAAAAAAAATCTTAAATATATCGCAAAAGAAGTCATTTTTTACTAAACTTCAATTATTTTAGGAATCTAATTAAATGCTAAGAGTTTGCGGCATCGTTTTGACACTCAAAAATCAATAAGAAACACTTTGTCAAATTTAAAATAATTTTGACTGTAAACTAGTGTAATAGAACTAGTAACTAGTGTAATAGAAAACGCATTACGACTGTGTATACACATAACTTTATACGTGATTTTTAATTTATTCATAACATTTGAATGTTACAAAATTATCTGTTTTAAAGTACGCGCTTTAAAAGACCTTAAATGACATTTTTAATTAATTATGCAAATTATAAACTCTATACATGTTCAGTAGAGCAGCATCCTATTCGCGAATTAAATGGCTGTCTGGGATCACGAAGGGATCATAGAACCTTACCGGGTCTCCCACAGACGCGAAATGTGCGAAATCTCCTGGACGCGTCGGTCAGGACGCGCCGATCAATAGGAAGTAAGAAGGCACATGTCCCGGTGGCTTCTCACACTATGGTGGTCACAAGCTCAACATCGCGCATTTTCGGCAGCTTCGCGCGCCGTCAGCGAGCTGAACGAACAGCGGAAGGTTTTAGCGGACTTCAAGCTTCGACTTTTAACGTTTAAATTTACGACGCGGCGGTCCTCGCCGCTTTACGAGAATTTATGCGATCGTACGGAAGGGGCTGGGTCTAACGATAGGCTGGGAATCGTCGCGATAACGATATGTCGACGTCAGCGACAGCGTCGGAACGAAGCGGGACGACGCAGCGCGAAAGCCGAGAAAAGTCGGGATACTGGTCCGCTGTCATTGGAGGGACCGTCGACCCGGTGCAGCGGCTTTTATTACACGACGACGCACTGCGCCGACGTCACAGCGACGTCGACGTCGTTGCCGTCGTCAAGGTGACGCGACGGCGCGACGGAGCCAGCCGGAGCCTCGTACCGAATCGATTCTTTTATATCGAGATATCGAAATGCAAACAAAATGCAACGTCGAGTGTTGTAGCGCGAAAATTTCGAAGTATGAGTTTGTAACAGTTTGTAAGTATACAGGATCTTATAGGAAATTGCTAAAACTAATCAGCTGTCATTTCTGAATACATGCAATTATTGAGAAAACAAAAATTGTGTTGAAAAGAAGAAAGTCTACAATATTTTTTTAATGGATATAAATAAAATGTTTGTATACTTGTATAGTTTATTTTATTGAAAAAAAGTAATCAAAAAAGTGCTATTAATAATAATTACATATGTAAAGTAATGATGAATATTTTCAAAGTGCGCACCATTTGAATTTGTATAAAATTCTGTTATTTTACGAAAACTCGTAAAAACTTTTTCTAATATATGTCATTTTTAATGTCATTGACGATCCTTTTAATAACTGCTATTAAATCTGATATTGTTGAAAATATTTATCATTAGTTTATGTGATTTTATATGATTATTAATACTTTTTTTATTATAAACTGATATACAAACATTTTATTTATATCCATTAAAAACTGCAGACTATCCTTTTTCTAACACAATTTTTGTTTTTTCAATAACTACATGCATTAAAAAATGACAGCTGATTAGTTTCAGCAATTTCCTATGGGACACTCTACATATATTCAAGAGTCATGGGTCCTTTCCCACTTGAAGATAGCCGCGGTAAAAATAGCTAGATCGCGCGTCTAGTTACTTATGCATCATGACTGTAGAGATTCTTAAAAAAACCCGCAACACTATTTCAAAGTCAGTTGTCAATTTCGAAGTCAGCTTGACAACATTAAGTATTTGTAGAAAGTTTTTATTTTATAGATATAAAAATTAGATTATTTATTTAAAATTGACATAAATTCATAAATTAGATTATTTATTATATAATTTGTTATTATTTATTATTATATATATTATATATTATAATTTATTATTATCTAATTATTATCTATTTATGAATGTATGTCTCTAAATATATCATTTATTAACTAATAATCTCATTTATACTCAACTTATATTTATGAATAAATCATTTAATTTCAAAATTTATATCTATAAATAAATAATCAATACCTTTATATTTATTAATTATATTTTTGAATTTACCGCACAATATTCATTAATTTAAATAATTAAATTTCTTTTCCTTATATTTTCAGATAACATCTCATGGTTTAATCTTCCACAAACATTTAAAGTTGTTAAACTGATGACTTAGAAACAATGAGTTTGTTCTTTATTGCTGCACAATTGAACCAGTGCACACTAGTACAATAAGTTAAAGTAAAACAAGTACATTTTATTTCGCTCTAATTTACTGCACCAGTGTACATTAGTTCACCAATTGCAGCAATAAAAAGCAAACCCAATGTTGCTGATTGCTGGTTTCTTCAAGAATCTACAATCATGATACACAAATAACAAAAGACACCGTGTCTATAGCTATTTTTAACTTTTGGCTATCTTCAGAAGAGAAGGCATTATTAACGCTGTGTTACATAAAACGGGCATCAGAGAGTTGTCTAAATGCTCAAAATTTATAATAAAAATACTAAATTATGAAACTACATATAAGGGTGACTTGTAAGTATTAATAGTTATTTAGTAGTTTAATTAGTAATTATTAATTGCAATAATAATCGCGTGATAAATTTTGTTTGTAACAAAGAAAGTAACTTTGTTACACTTTTCAGTGACGCGAATAACGAATTTAATAATTACTTCTATCATATTTTACTTTTTCGAACCTACTAAATATAAATTTTAATACAAAGAAATTATACATATATTGATCAAGGGTATTGAAATACAGTATTACATTAAAATTGTTCTTTATATATTTATTTTAATATATGCTCATTTAAATCAAATCAATATGTATAAGCATATATGCATCATATAAAAACTATATTTCTTCATTTCTGTTGTATGAAATTTATGGTAAATACACAATCAAACATTATTTAGAATATTTAATATAAAGATATCAAAATAAAAATAATAAGAATATTAATTTCAAAATATCAAAGTAAAACTCATTATCTTACCTAATAATTTTTTCCTGATTGTTTCTGATAAGAATGGATAATTTTCATTTAATTCTTCAATATAATATAAATAAAATTGTACATATAGTTAGATAATTAATATACTAGACATTGTTAAAGTTTAATTTTTATTATAAAGAAATGTCAACGTGTTACAATTATTATACTATATATCATTGAGCAAAATTATCATATCAGTTATTATAAATAATAAATAAAATTTTAATAAATTATTAATATTATATAACATTAATATTATATAACAACTTATTAATATTATGTAATAGCTCATTCCGGCGACAGCCCAGGAACTATAAAGAGATATTAATATATTGACTTACAATTAGATGCTATTTACTATTATTAATTTTATTATTTTTTTTTTATTTTTTTTTAATTGCTAAGAATAGAAATTTTTAATACATTATACAACAATAACATTTTGCATATATATATTGCATATATATACTCCCATTTTTTTATTTATAAATATTTGTACAGATGTTTGTAACTGAGATTTATAAATCCAACTTTTCACCATACATTTTTGCTTCCAAAATTGTTAATCGATTCTTGTGTATAACGGCCAAGCAATGTTTTTTCTCCAGATTAATGTGTTTTCTTATTTTAAAATTGTACAATTTATCAACTTTTATTTTTATTTCACTTTTCTGTACAAAACCGTTGATACCTTGTAAAAAATTATGAAGAAACGTAATAAATTATATATATGTATATATTATTGATAAATGAATTATATATATATATATATATATATATATAATTTATTTTATATACTTAAATAAATTATTTTTAAGTTTCTTACATTTTTCTAATTTTACACTATACCTTATATTTGTAATATCCGACTTACCTTTATATTCGTAAATCTGAATGGTATCATTATTTTCTGCAAAAATAAACAATGTTTCGACAAGTCCATTGAAATTTAGAATCAAAAATGATTTCGGCAGACGTGTTTTTATAGTTTGCAAAATCTGTGTTTGCGAGATGTCATTTTGGCACAACTAAATGAAACAATACGATCAAATTAACACATCAATGTCCTCATAAAATAATATTTAATTTCATCAAACTAACAGAAAAATAGACTATTAAGAGCTAGATTAACCAAAAAGCGCAAATTCCTTTTTTTTTTTTTTTTTTTTTTTTTTTTTTTTTTTTTTTTTTTTTTTTAGAATTAATTGATTAATTCTATAAATATATGTTAACATTAATAGTCTATTTTTCCGTTAGTTGGATATTTAGTACCGAAGTTTGAAACTTCGTTATTTAATTATATATGATAAATTGTGGCTTTATATATATTATATGCATTACTTTAAAAAAAATAGAGAACACTTATTCTATCCAAAAAATTATGCTATTTTCAAATCGAGAGTCGATGAAAAATGGTCGTAGACTAAATTTTAAAAACGCAATCAACGCATTTTAAAACTTTTTCAACTTTAATGCGGAATCGGTAGTTTTTAAAAATATTTTTATTTTTTCATTTTATATTTTAAAAAAGAACATACTATTTTGTTCCTTAAAATTACGTACTTTTAACACCCTGCAGCTCAATAAAAAAATTTTCTCGAAAAATTCTACTCAAGTTTCATAAACTACAACATTTTGCTTAAAAAGTGCTACTTTTTAAATTTTTCTGCAATTATTTTGACTGACAATATGTTACACGATTTTATAATTATAAATTTGTATTTTTCAAAACAAAATAAAATAAAAAATGTAAAATGGTAATAATTTTGTCAACCATATCTGGCTATAAATACTATTTATTAAACTTTACGACGTTTCGGCCATGGGTTTCGGCCCTTATCAAGTGCTATAAACAATTGATATATAATTAAATTAATAATATTACAGATTAATACAAATTAGGTGCTTAAATATTGATATACCAACCTACTTAATACCGCATTATTGTAATAACATTGCTTGTTTGATCTTAGGTCATGACGTGATGTACTGTCATGATAATGTGTTACGAACTAACTATATTAATATGTCAATACGGAACTATTTATATACTAGATCAGACTAAACGACCTTTATTAATTTTTCGTAGACATTGTTTAGATTGTCAGTATCTTTTTGTAAGTTAATATTATTGTCAAATTTCTTGATGAAAAACATCTCCGCTATTTCTCGTTTTCTAACATATTTTTCATGATGTAAAATTTTCTAAACAATGTCTACGAAAAATTAATAAAGGTCGTTTAGTCTGATCTAGTATATAAATAGTTCCGTATTGACATATTAATATAGTTAGTTCGTAACACATTATCATGACAGTACATCACGTCATGACCTAAGATCAAACAAGCAGTGTTATTACAATAATGCGGTATTAAGTAGGTTGGTATATCAATATTTAAGCACCTAATTTGTATTAATCTGTAATATTATTAATTTAATTATATATCAATTGTTTATAGCACTTGATAAGGGCCAAAACCCATGGCCGAAACGTTGTAAAGTTTAATAAATAGTATTTATAGCCAGATATGGTTGACGAAATTATTACCATTTTTAATTATCGACTGGTGACTTCTTAGTTCTTTATATATATAAAAAAATGTCAAATTAATTGACAGCGTATTAAATTTGACACCTCAAACTTTAAATTGCTTTTTTAATTTTTTGTCTACTATTATTTTTCGCCTATTAACATAATTTTTTAAAAATATAGATTTTGTTTCAAAATCAATAAAGGTCGGTAATAACTTGGGCAAAAAAAATCGTAAAAAAATTTCAAAAATAGCATTTTGTAGGCAAAATGTTGTAGTTTATGGAACATTAGTAGAATTTTTAGATAAAAATTTTGTTATTGAGCTGCAAAATGTCAAAAATACGTAATTTTAAGGAATAAAACCATATGTTTGTTTTTAGTCCAGAACAAAGAAGTTAAAAAAATTTTATTACCAATAGGGCATTAAAATTAAAATTGCAACCTTTAAAATGCTTCTTTAATTTTTTTGTTTACGATGGTTTTTTGCTGAATATCGATATTATATCTGAAAAAAATGTTTACTTTCCAAATTGTGTAACTCGGTCAAAAGTTTTTAAATAAGTATAAAACGGAAAAATAAAAGAAAGATTGATAAGAAAACTGTAATTATTTAACTTTCTTAGTTTTTTATATACATATATACATAGGAGTAATTTGTTATTATGAATACTTTATTAATTTTAGAAAAGGATTTTTCATTTTGTATGGCTAAGAAATAGGTAAATAAAAATAATATTTATCGATAAAACAGAGTCAGTATCCCTTAAATTTGAAATTTTAAGCTTCAAAATGCTTTTTTAATTTTTAATTTTTTACAATGATTTTTCGCCGAGTTTTAGTGGTTTGAAAATAGCATAATTTTTAAGATGGGAAAATAGTGTTTCTCTTTTTTTTGAATAGTGTATATAATACATATTGTATATATGTATATACATTGTACGTATAAGCGCGCGCACACGCACATAAAAATACAAACACGCACGCACACACACGTAAATGGCTATATAAAATTAATTGTATAATAATACATGAATGGAAATTTTTTTTTCAACTTACGAATATATAATCACGGCTGACTTCTTCGTCGTAGTAAATATATTCTTCTTTTTCATAAATACCTACTTTAAAATTTAACGTGCTGTCATTTCTTAGATATGTATCATTGGAAGATCTTCCTTGTAATCCGTAAATTAAGGATTGATTAACAAAGGCAATTGGATAAATATTTGAAATTAAATTTAATTTTTTGTTTTCATTCTTATATGAGATGAGACTTTGCAATATATCTGACTGAATATTTTCTGAAGCATTTTCAAGATTTTCGGAAGCCATTGATACAAATTGATCTTGATGTAAATCCATAATATAGCTAACATTGTCAAATTCCGACACATGCTACGAAAAAGAAAATAAAATAAAAAATAAAGAATATAGTTCTCTGAATTTAACTTAAGCAAAAATATATTATATTTTCAGAGTTGGTAAGATAATAATTTTTTAAAACTAAGTTAAGTTTAAGTTAGCTGCTCATAAAATTAATTTAGTTAAGTTAAAAGTTGAACAAAAAATTAACTCAGTTAAAGTTATTAAATTAGGATTAAATTAAACTAAAGTTAAATCAAAAGTTAATTTTTAAAACATTCATATTAAATTAGAATTTTGTTTGTTAATTCTTTTAAAATGTATAATAACAAATAACCAAAAAATTTTGATTTCTATGTAGAAATATATTTTTTGGTAGTTATAACTGATAGCAAAAATAAACATAAAAATTAATAATATTTTAATTTAAAAATAATACGTTTATAACTTATAAAAATATAATAATGGTATTCAGAAAAAAATTTTAATTAGGAAAAAAGTTAATAAGTTTAGAATCAAAAATAACTAACTGAAGTTAAAAATTAATACTTTTTAAATTACTTCTAACTTTTTAATTCTTTTTAACTTTTAACTATATTTAACTAGTTATTACCCAACCCTGTATATTGTATAAGTACATTTTACTTTATTACTCACCATTAATCTGTTATTTTCTAATTTCCATATATTATTCAAGCTTCTACCGCAGGTGCGTTTTGCGACGGTAAAGAAATACATAGGATGATTTGGATTTAAAAAAATCCATTTATCAATTAATCCAAAATCGGACACTTCGTCGACCACTTGAAAATCATTTTGAATATACATTATAAGTTTCATACGGCAAGTATCATAATTTACCAATATATAATCGAACATATCTAATTCAATAGTACGGATATCATGAATATCTCCTTCAAATTCCTGAATTTTCAAGTAGTCAAATGTATTGAACTTGTATATCTGATTCATAGCATTGTATTTAAGCGTGTCTAAATGGAATGCATATATATTATTCAGATCCATCTGCACAAAATAAAGTTATGTTAAAAGTGTAAGCAAAACAATTTTAAAAATAAATTTTGGTAAAAAAAAACACTGGATTTAATTGTAATAACCTTAATAAGAAAAAATAAAAATAAATTAGTGATTACAAAAAATATTTTTTTAATTATTTGTTAACTATTACTTAATATCATATTTACTATATCGAAAATGATATTTTGCTGAATGTTTTTAGAAAATAAATTATCTTACATATGTTTCATTGATGATGCGATCTATTTCAGGATTTTCCTTTGATAAATCAAATGATGTTTCGCTGACATTAACTCCACTCAAAAACTCACTTCCGCCAATATTTTCTTCAAAATGGACATTTCCATATATTTTCCACTTTCCAGATATAATCTGTTTATTCCAGATAATTTGTTTAGTTACTATTTCGATTGCAACGCCTTGCCAATTGATTGGATTTATTCCATTTAAAAGACCCCCAATTTTGAGACTTTTATCAAGAACAACAGGAGTTTTGAATATAAAATTTCCTTAAAAAAATTAAACATATGTATTATTTACAATAATGGTCATCGTAATAAAAACATTCTCATAATTAGTCCATCTGCTGCTCAAATAAATGAAGAAAAATAGAAATCATCTATATACAACGCTATAAAAGAGTTGTTTTGTCCTTTATATCTTAAAATAATAAAACATGTACGAATATTTCTTAGATTTTTGTGTTTAACAATATTTCAAAAAGAATTAATTGATATCAAACAGTTTTTATATTCCTTGTTAATTTCTTCATTTTAAAGACTATCTCTAAATTTTTATAACATTATTTATATATAACATTTCAGTTTTTTTACCTGCTAAAGTGTCATTGGCAATTAAAGAAACAATTTGTTTCGTATTGAACCTATTAACGAGATGTGCATTAAAATCATGATACGCATAAACATTTCCTTGAATATGTATATATCCCGAAATATTTTGATTACTATATATCTGTAAAAAAATTTATTATTTTATTATTTTCAAACTATTACATAGCAGTGCAATTTTAAAAATTATGTATTTAAAAAAATTAAGGCATTGCAATCGTAAAATACGATTTTTTTTTAAATGTAAAAGAATACTAATAAAATATGAATAAAAATGTGCATATATTAATTTATTCACAAACATTTTCATATTTTAAGCAAAAAACAAAAAATAAAAAATAAAAATAATTTTCATACTTTAATCTCTAAAATCTAAAATATCTGAAACGATAAAATTGTTATTATTATATTTTGACGCATGTACCAAAAATGTGTTTGTAAAAATATCTTCTAGATGGTAGGTATTAATATGTCCTGTTATTTGTATGTTTTTAACGGTGGCATTATTGCAATTAAGTTTATGCGATATGATTAACTGTTTCGTATGCAATGGAATCAGCATATTAATTTTTAAGTCATTGACCTGTACAACTTTTATGCTTGCTTGGAAAGTCACATTATCAAGTATGATCCGTTCTGAAATATAAATCATTCTTTAGTATGCCAAAAATTGTCCAATATAATAATTATCTTGATATAATAATAATAATAATAATAATAATAATAATAATAATAATAATAATAATAATAATAATAATATATATATAACTTTTTTCTATTATATGTGAAGCTGATTACCTGAAAAATAATTAAGTTCATTGAGAGTGATAACATTCTCTTGCAAATCTTTCATATCGACATCCATGATAGTATTTGATTGTAATTCTGTTTTTACTACAAGAGTTTTTTGTATATACACATCTTCTTTAAACATAACTTTAACATCAATCGAGAAAGGTTTATCAATATAAATAGCATTTTTGTGAAATCTGTTTAAATCTAAATTATTTAAATTGCCATAGATAGTAAATGCACTATTAAACGTAATTGGACTTTTAAAAATTTTCGATCCAGATATTATAATATTTTCATCGTTTTTACGAATTAATGTCTCCAACAAACTGTCAAACATTAATCTTTGAATTAGTCCACTTATATTCAGCCTTGTTATTGAAGTAATTTCATTGAAATAAAAATTGCCGTGAAGAGCATAAGTATTATTTTCAAGTGATTTAAATCTATTTATAAAATCACATAAGAATACATTTCCAATCTTGCCAGTTGTATCAAAATTCCTTAAAACTGTGACCCAGCCTAAAAAAAGATTTATTAATATTCTGTTTAAAAAGTACAGAAAAAATTAGAGGAAAAGGAGGAAAAAATATTTACAATTGTGATGATGATGATGAAAATAATTAACGTTAAAAAATTAATGCAATTGTAAGTATAAAACAGTATAAATAGAATTTAATATTGTAATGACATATTTAACTCTACTAAATATAAATAAAAGAGTAATAAAAATAAAAAAAATAAAAAAGAGAGAGAAAGAGAGAGTATATAAAATATATCTAATAAATATGTCCCCTTTTAATCGATTACCTCCAAAAATATTTTTATTTTTGATTGTACAACAAAATGCTTTAAATAAAAGTTGTTTGATTTAAATAAAGAGATAAGATATTTTAATACTTTTATGTATATAATAATGAGAGAAACAAATAGATGTTAAGAAAACATAGTTATTTTCAAGAAAAAAAATGTAAATTGCAACCAGTTACATACTTTTTCTTACAAATAATAATGTATTTTATACTAATTGATTTTTTCATTATTTTATGTACAAAAGATATTAGGATCAGATTGTCGAAAAATGAATATTTTACGAGATATTTCATAGTCTATGTAAATTGTGTCAAATTTAAATAGGTATAACATATCTCGTAAAATTCTTTTTCCATCTTACCCTTATAACTTCTTATAGTAAATATTGTAAGAAATCAATTTATATAAAAAAAATTAGGGTAATTCCATTTAAAAATATATAAATGACCTTGAAAAGTGCCCTTTAGAAAAAATCACTAGCACAATAATCTTCTGTCCCCCTTTAAATCAATCACAATTTTTTTTAAAAAATTTGGTACACAATTAAAAATAAAAATATTTTTAGGATGCTCAATTAAAATGGGAAACATTTCTAAAAGTTTTTAAAATTACATTTGAAAGTAAAATTGTATAGGAAATATTAAAACACATGAAAACTTCTGTCCATGCAACATACCATTTATAACAACTGGTCCTTTCAGTATCTGTTTTTTACTGGAATCCAAGATATTTTCTATAGGATGTCCATTTATAACTCGCGCCTTCAAAAATTCGCATGTAACATTCTCTAATGTTTTGTGGCCTACAAATGTTATGTTTCTGTCGACTTTCTGTACCGCGTCAGCAACAAATTCAGTTAGATTTAAACCATTCACGAAGCCAACCACCGTTAGATGTTTAATCGATGTGTTTTCTTTGAAAATTACAGTTCCCATGCAGTCTTTCTTGTAAACGTTAACGATATCATTATCATTAATCAAAGATGCTGTTATCATTCCTGTCACTCGAAGTGACCTTATTGGCGCATTTCCGTTGAAAATATCATTGTAAAGTGATTTTGCATGCTCTAATAATCGTTGTAATTCATTCAAGGGCATTCCATTAATTATTTCTGCGTTCAAGACATCGATTTCCAAATTGTCAACTATTAAAGCGCCTGTCAAATTTTGCTGCGTAGAAATTGTTAAGATGCGTCCAGTCAAATTAGCGTAATCGATATAATTGATCGTGTTCGGCGAGATTTCATCGGCTATTAATGTTGAGAGTATCAAATTTTCAAAGTACATTTTTTCGAAAGTTTGATTTAATTTGTCGAAAAAAGCAGTCTGAGTAATATTTTGCTTCAGAGTATCAAAAGACAAATCGTCAACGATACATGATCTAATAAACAATAATACTTTGTTTAGGCAAGTAGCAGAAGCAACATTTTGTTCACGAGTTATGTAATTTTCCAACTTCTTTATCATGCCAAAAGTTACGTTGCCAAACGTGACATTTGCCGATATTTTTCTCAAATCTGTGTAAAGTAATATTATAAAAATAAAATTTTAAAGTAATGCAATTAAGTAACAACAAGTATTTTTATAATTATTTTTTCTTTAAAAGAGAAAAAACAGATTTATGTATTACAAAAAGTAATATTATAATATTTTTATTATTTTACTATTGTAAAAATAAAGTAAACAATAAAACATTTTTTCTATAATTCATTATGTATAATAAATTTATATGTATATACAGGGTGTAATTAAACAAAGATATACGAACCACATCATTTGGTGCAGGACAACAAACTAAATCGAAAAGTCCTAAGCTATTTTTAATCTGACAATGAGCTTTATTTTTGACGCTACAAATTGTTAAAGTTTGCCAATTAGCGCGTGGCTACAACGAAAAACAGCGTAGGAGTATAATACGGGGTCTATAATAGCAGTCATAGAGTCGTAAGTCGTAGAAATTGACCAATCACAGTTGAAGTTCAGAAAAATAATCGACTGTGATTGGTCAATTTCTACGACTTAAGACTCTACGACTGCTATTGTAGACCCCGCATTAAAGTCTACTAAGGCGGCGCCTACGCTGTTTTCCGTTGTGCTAATTGGCACAATTTATAGCGTCAAAAATAAAGGGCAAATTAAAAAATGGCTCAAGACTTTTCAATTTAGTTTGTTGTCCTGCACCAGATACCTTTGTTTAGTTATACCCTGCATATATATTCTTTATTTTTTAATTATACATTAAACTATTACAAATAATTATAAATAATGTTTATAAATTAATACTTACAGGGAAACTGTTGATCTGTATTTAACGTTACAAACTCTGAGAAAAAGTGATTATTAATTTGTCCAGATGTGATTGTGACGTTGGAATTTATACAAATACGATTCGAGAATTTTTTATTCCCAGTAATTAATGCATTTTCCTCTGTTTTCAGCAAAAGATCATCAAAATCCGACCATGTTCTATCATCAATTGAATCTTGAAGTACAATGTTTCCCATAACAGTCAGATTTTCAAAAATAATATCTGACGAGAGCCTAGCAGTTTCATTGAGCAAACCCTCTATGTTGCTTATGTTAATACCCGTTATATCGCCGTCAAGCTAAAATCATTATGACATAATAATTAGAACAAAAAATTTAAAATAAAAAAAATTGTAAATTAAGAAATTAAAAATTTTTTAAATTTTTAATATAAAACTGATAAGTTTGCGCTTTGTTTTTATATGTACTTTAATCGTGGAAAAGCATTTAGTATTCTATTCTACCAATAAAAAGAAAAGGGTGCACAAAAATGATGTTTTATCGATAAAACAGAACGGCGTTTAGGATCACTTTAACTGCAAAATATATTTATTGAATTATCATACCTGGAAAATTCCAATCTCGAGATTTTCAAAAGTAATTTCATGATCAATAATCTCCTGTCTGCTAACAATAATGAAATCATCAATATTTATTTTATTTATTGAATCAATACCCAGCAAATGTGTTGTAGACAGATTGGCAAAGTATTTTTCACCCGTAACGTTGATGGAATTTTTATCATTAATTAAAACGTAATCTTCTGGATATCGTAAATGGTTCAGATTTTTGACATTGGCTTCGTCAACGATAAGCTGCTAAGAGAAAAAATTTGTTATTAAAGTAAAAGTTATAAAAGAGTTTTATTCTAATATATACAGGTTATCTTAATCGATGATTCCTTAAAATTTTTTTATTTTGATTTTACAATAAAATGCTTCAAAAATTGTTTGATTTTTAAAAAGGTATAGAAGTTAACGTTATTAATTTTTTTCTAAAGGTTCTAAAGATCACATTTTTAAGGTCATTTGAACATTATTTGTTTTTTTTTAAATAGAACTATTATAATTTTTTAAAATAAATTAATTCCTCGTAATTTTCGACATAAAAAGTTATGAAGACGAGATGGCTAAAAAATGAATAGTTTGTGAAATATTTTATACTTTTTGACATAATTTTACATAAACTATGAAATATTTAAAAATATTTATTTTCCAATGATCTTATCTCAAAACTTTTATGCACAAAATAATGAAGGAAATCGATTGGTGTAAAGAAAATATATAGTTTGTTTCTAAAAAAATATGTAAATAGCAACTAGCAGCTATATACTTCTTTATAAACAAATGTTTTTTATACCAGTTAATTTCTTTTATTATTTTATACATAAAAACATTGAGATAAGAAAAATGAATAGTTTACGAAATATTTTATAGTTTCATGTAAAATTATGTCAAAAAGTATAAAATATCTTACAAATTATTCATTTTTTGGTCATTTCACCCTTATAATATTAAATATTTTTATGCAAAATATTATGAGGAATCAATTTATAAAAAAATATGATGGTTCCATTAAAAAATGGCCTTCAAATGACCTTAAAAAGCGCTCTTTAGAGAAAAAAGAAGTAGCATCTTTTAATCCCTTTTAAATCAAATAACATTTATTTGAAACATTTTGTTGTGCAATTAAAAATAAAAGTGTTTAGGAGTGATCGATTAAAATAGAATTAAAAGGACACTTTGTATAAAATGTTTAATAAATAATAAATATCAGTGGTAAATTATTAATAATTTTTTACAAAAAAAAATAAATGATGTAGAATAAATCTATTTTCATTAATTATATTAAATACAAAAACATGTTATTTTTAGAAAGCCATTTTTCTCAAAAATTACGTAAATTGTAAAAATAAAATTATAGCAAACAATTATAGGAGATTCAACCTCGATGGCCTTAATTAAAATATGTTATCAATATAATGAACTGAAAATCATCATATTGAATATATCAAGATCACATCAAGATTGAATTCCTTTTCTTACAATTTTATTTACTTTATATATTTATTTTAATTAATTTATTTTAATTACGATTCTCTATATAATTATACATTGCCTTACCCCTTCCACGATAGTCTCTCCTGGAATAGTTATTGGTTCATCTTTCCATATTACACTTTGCATTAGATTCTCCCATGTAACATTATTTATCTCGGAAAAGTTTAAGTGTCCATTAATTTGTAATCGTTTTAACTTCGAAAAATCAGTGTTGTTATAATTTTTTATTGAAGTATCAAGAACAATTTCTTGCAACGGGACCCCATTCAGTGAGAAAACTGTTAAATTATCAGTATTGATGGAAAGAAAAGATTTCTGGCCGTTAACGATATTAGAAACATAATTTACAATATTGTTTCCTGCGATCGAAGTTGATGCGTTATTTACAAAAGCAGCAGTTATATTTTTTGCGTACAACGTTCCAGTCACCAGAAAATTCCCAGTTAATTCAATATCTGACGATAAGTTGATTCTCGAATCAGTTACATTTTGCAAATCCAATAAGATTTGATTAAGCCTCGTGTCAAATTTATCCAGTTTCTTTAAAATCGATGTCACGTTTATCAATATGTCTTCCATTTCCAAGTCAATCGACCCGACTTTGACAGCGCCGTAATTTACATTTCTTTCTATTGTCGCATTCGATGCATCTACTTTCGAAAAATTCCATAGTCCTGATACAGCATTTTTAAAGTAACTTTGATCCAAGCGTGCTTTAGTCTCGTCAAAGACTACTTCCTGTTTTCGAAAAACCTCCTGGAAGTATTTTATGTGCAAAAATGTAAAATTTCTCAATAAAAATTGTTTTAAATAAATATAAATAAAGATAGAATAATAAGCATGTAAGTCTAAATATTTTTATATATTTGCATTTTAAGTTATTCAATTATATGAAACATTTATATGAAACATTTATTTGTGTCTATAATTATGGAGAAAATATATAATTTTACAAAGTATCCCACTTTAAAAGATCCACACAAATATTTCTTAAACAATGCATTTTAGAAAAAATGTTTTAGACAAAAGTTGTAGGATTTTTGAAAGGAAAAAAGACTTTCTCCCCTAAAAAGTGATTTTCAAGATCATTTAAAGGTCATGTATATTTTTTTTAAAATAGAACCATCTTAATATTTTTAAATATATATATTTTATAAATTAAACTTCGGCTCGTATACAATTAAAATATGTGATATAATAAAAGGCCAACTTAACGAGCTTATATGCTATTGATTGAACAATTTATTTATTAATTTACTTCATACTATACAAAAGTTCAGATAAACGTTTCGACTGTACGACAGTCTTTCTCAATATCCTAATAATATGTTAAAAAATTAATTTAGTCATTTCGACATCATAAATAAATACAACAATTATAAGATTATATGACGAACGCAGTACAAATTCATGTATGTTGGCATGAGTTAGAGCGTCAGATGCTGTTATATTATGTAACCATTTTTTGTCAACGAACATAACACTTTTTTAAAAAATTATTTCTTTTTACTTAACATAGTCACAATGTGTACTTTTTTAAAAACAGGACAGATATCGATTTGTTTTTTAAAAAAGTACACATTGTGACTATGTTAAGTAAAAAGAAATAATTTTTTAAAAAAGTGTTATGTTCGTTGACAAAAAATGGTTACATAATATAACAGCATCTGACGCTCTAACTCATGCCAACATACATGAATTTGTACTGCGTTCGTCATATAATCTTATAATTGTTGTATTTATTTATGATGTCGAAATGACTAAATTAATTTTTTAACATATTATTAGGATATTGAGAAAGACTGTCGTACAGTCGAAACGTTTATCTGAACTTTTGTATAGTATGAAGTAAATTAATAAATAAATTTTTCAATCAATAGCATATAAGCTCGTTAAGTTGGCCTTTTATTATATCACATATTTTAATATTTTTATATAAATCAATTCCTCGCAATATTCACTATAAAAAATTATAAGAACATGATGGCCAAAAAGTGAATAGTTTATGAAATATTTTATACGTTAATTCAACATAATATTACATAAATTACTTCGAAATATTTAGAAAATATTCATTTTTCGACGATCTTACCTTAATATTTTTATGCATAAAATAATTAAAGGAATAAATTAGTGTAAAAAAGAATACACAGTATGTGATTTGTAACTAATTATTATTTGCTTTTTTTTATAAACAACTGTGTATTTTTTTACACACCAATTGATTTCTTTCATTATTTTATGCATAAAAGCATTGAAGTAAGATCATCAAAAACTAAATATTTTACGAGATATTTTTTTTATAGTTTATGTAAAATTATGTTAAATTTAAGTATCAAATACCTCGTAAATTATTCGTTTTTTTATCATTTTACTCTTACTAAGAGAATTGCGAAAAATATGTATATGAAGAAGTATAAGAATATGTATATGTATAAGAATATGTATAAATAATATGTAAAAAAATGTGATGGTTCTATTGAAAAATCATAAATGACTTTTAAATAAGCTCAAAAATACCTTTTAGGAAAAAGTTAGTAGTAATTTCTTTCCCCCTCTATAAAATCCTACAACTTTTATCTGAAACATTTTTCTCAAAAATGCATTGTTCAAGAGATAGTATTTGTTGGGATCTTTTAAAATGGGACACCCTGTACATAAATATATAATACATTAATTAATTATATAAATTACTTATATAGTTTAATTATGTAAATAATAATTAATTATATAAATATTAATTATATAAATATTATATAATGCATAATTATATATAAAAAATATTACACATAAATGAAACAAAACCTGTAAGTACCTCCAACAAAATTCGCGTCTTTAATATGCTTTCCGTCTCATTGTGAATAGGATGCGCTAATTCGCTCAAGGTCACATCAATACATACAAGCACATTTGCATGCACGAATCCAACTTTTGGAATAGGAATGATTTTTGACAGATCAAAATTATTTATAATTTGATTAGGTAAAGCTACCGTCTTGAACTTTAATCCTTGCCAAGCTAGAGCAATTACTGACAAATTTTTAAATTGAACCAATAATAATGATTCATCCCGGTATGTGTTCAGTGATATAGTGGTGATCCAAGAAATGTCAGTAGTATCTGTAAAATATATACTTATCTATTTTTGTAAAATTATATTTTACTTAAAAACTAAATAAATAAGCATATTATATATTAGAAGACTCACCCCCTCCTATAATTCTCAATAACTTGACCTTGACAATATATGTGAAGGTCATGACTCTAAGTAATATATAAGTTCTATTCATCGTTCATTCTTCATTAACTAGTTATTAACAATTAAATTAAATCTAATTTTTATTTAAAAAGATGAATTAGTTTGGATTAAACTAAAATGTTACTCATAACTTTGACATATGTTGTCAAGGTCAAGATTATTGTAGATGAGTCTCCTCATATGTATACACAATTGAAAAATTCCTGTTAAATTTAATATATATCACATGTCCAAAACGGTTCACATAAATTTTTGTGTTAATTTATCATAATATAGATATGTATGTTAAATGGGGAGTCATAAATACTATATTATAATATTTTAACACAAAATAAATACAAAACTTCAAGTAATTTAAAATAAATTTTGTGTAACCGGCGCGCGAAAAGTCGCCCTTTACGCACATGATAGAATTTTAGAAAGGGCTCCTTTCCACGCACCGGTCACACAAAATATTGTAGCCAACATGTGCGGGTCGTAAATCAGCCGATCGTGCAGATTGTCACACTTGGCTTCGCCTCGTGCGCCAAACTTCCGCACTCTCGGCCGATTTACGATCCTCCGCACTTGTTAGCTAATATACTATTGTGTAAAATTAACACAATTTTAATGTAAAAATTAATTTAAAATATGTTAATTTTACATTTTATCATCCCCTTTTACATTATAAAATAAAAAATCAACATTTTATTTTGTAAATTTTAACAGATAAAATCTTGTCACTAATCAAGCATATTTATTGTGTAAAATTAAAAGTAGATATATAGTGTGTTATTTTACATCTTTTTCAGTTGTTAATAATTTAATACTTAAGTTTAATTAATATAACAGCAATGTGTTAAATTAACATATAAATATGTTAAATATTTAACAACAAAAAGAGACAAATTTTTCTACTGTGTGTGTGTAGTTACGGAAAATTATTGTCGTAAAATTACCATTGAAATGCAGATCCGTCTCGACATTATTTTGAAACTCGTTCTCGGAAAAGCGAAGTAAACGCGTTTCCTTTCCACCAATTGCTAGATATTCAATATAGCCACTCTCGAAACAGACGAAATTTCTTAACTCGTTGGACTCGATAATTTCAAATTTTTCAAACTGACAAGATTTACGTTCATTTTTCGATTTATATAAAATAATATTATTAATTCCTTGAAAAGCCAACACGGAACTTCCATAAATCGAACATATTTGAACATCAAATACTTTTGGAACAAATAATCGCCGACAAAACCTACAGTGCAGTTTAAAGTTTACTATAAAATATGCGTTGTATTTATACAATATTATTTTGTACTTTGATAAATATTATTTCAGTTTGTGTATATAAAAACAATTGTATATATAAACTAAAAATATATAATTAAAAATTTTTTTAATTTAAAAAAAAGAAAGAATACTTGTCTCTCTAAACAAAAAAACGTTAACGTTTATAGGCATAAAAATATTATTTAGATTTCTTCTATAATTTTTTTATGTCGACATATATGTTTTGCAAAAAAATCTATCATATAATTCCATCAAGTTGTGAATTATGCGTATTATATAATATAATATTATAAAAGTAAAAAAAAAACAGAAAAATATATATTATAAACAATTAAATTAAAAATTAAACAGTTAAATTAAAAATTAAACAATTAAATTAAAAATTAAAAATATGTATAAACAATTACGTAATTACCATATATCAATGCGATGCTTATTATAATCAACATTGAAACCATAAATATCGATCAACGATTGTTCTTCAGGATGTACATCATTGTCAAGTAGCAATAATTCATGTTGCTCTTCTTCTCGTACAAATTCCATGTCTTGAATTTGTTTTTGTACAGGCCACGTCAAATACAACGTGTACGTATTTCCAAAGATTCTGTACCAGTACAAGAAATAGCTATGTTGGATTTCAACCAGTAAGACTACCATTAAATTAACGTGATTTTCATAGAATGTTTTTTCGGTATTTAAATTAAGAACTTTAAATTGTAATATTTTTCCTTCAGTCGTTATACTTAGAGTATGTTCAACTGACAAATCATCAAGATTAATCTTATAGAAAAATAATGTTGAATTCTCTGCACAAATAAAGTAAGAAGTTTCTATTTGAAAAAATTTCCAATCAATGTTATCGGGCAGATTAAATCCATACAATGAAATATTTGTCACAATAACTTCTGAAAATAAAAACATTTTTTGAATTGTTATATATATATATATGAAGCGTACGAAAAATCATTTATTTGTACAACAAAACAATAAACATAAAATTACATATAAAAAATATAACTGTTCTATATAAAAAATATTAAAATATATAAGAAATGGTGATGAAATGAAATAAAAACAATTTCACGTATAAATGTAGATTAGAATTAGAATGAAAAATTGAAAATATATATTAATTATTAGAAGATTTCGTTTTTGAATAAATAAATTCTAAAAATCCGTTAAGTACCTAAAAACAAGTTTACACTAAAAATATATACCCTGAGAAAAAAATTGTACATAAAATATCTTATGTTCATATATATATTTTTTTTTATTTAATCCCTATCTGTATATTCCGTCTGTACAGAAAAATAAAATATAAGAATAATTTTTGCATTATTTAAAATAATAAGATTTGAAAAAATAAGAAAAAATTATTCATATATATACATTTATATATAGACAATTTTTCTCGTTTATTCAAATTTCCTTTAAAAAAAAACAAATAATTATTTTTATTTTATTTTTTTTTTATACATGAACAGTAATTATACAAAAGAAACATATACAGATATATTCTATATATAATTATATACATTTATATTTTATTATACACATGCAATTTTTCCCGGATGATCAGAATCATTTTCATTATTAGATTATAATTATCATTGTTAGGTAAATTAATCATGCTGATGTGGATCGAATATGAATATAAAATTAATTTAATTTTCACGTACATTTTATATAGAAATATTGTATTATACGTATATAAAAATATTGTATTATATTTATATTTTTAATTTTTGTAAAAATTATCTCTATTTCTTGTTTTAGTATAAATACATATAATAAATAGAGGTGATTCTTGCAAATATATATGCATATATTTATAATTGTTAACATTAATATAATAATATATTTGTATATTTTATAATAATTACCTTCTCGATTTCCAGCCCCAGTGCCAAATTCATATTCCTGCCAAATTAATGATGAATCTTCGTGATTCCGTGGTCGTCGAAATGATCTGGTATTGACGAGTATTTCATCCAATGTCTTGGACATTTCTTCGATATCCTGACACTTTACGTTAGTCACGAAAATCCACAGAAAGAGGAAACACACAAGATCTTTACTCGGTAACATTCTGAATATGTACTGAGACTCTCGACCGTGAAATTCTCACACGCTTGATATCTCGTAAATATCTTCGTATGACCCATAATATTTTGATTATTTATTGAGTCGATGCTTACATCTAAAATCAAACACTCTTCGAATTTATCTTGCTAAACGTTCCAAAATTAAATTAAACAAGATATTATTTACCAGTATATTTTCTACTATAAGTTCATTAATAATTATATACATTCCTTTTAAATCATAATTTATTATTAACACGGTTTTATTAGTAACAGTTCTTCAATAGATCCCATATTTATCTACAAATATTTTATTAATCATATCAATATAACAAATTTTTGTGAAACTTGGAAGTCGTAACAAATACTTAATTTTATACAATTATATAAAATATGATTTTCAATAAAACTTCTCTAACATATATCATTGCTTAAATTTGCTTTTTATACAAAAATAATGATATCAGTAAATTATATCATTTAGAAATATAGTTAGGCACAATATAAAATTCAATTTTTTAGTATTTTATATTTTAATATTAAAATTGATATAGCCAATTGAATACAATATAAATATATCTTTTATTTAAAAACTATTATTATATATTTTAATATAATTGTAATATACAAATATGTAATCTATATACATATATATATAAAATATGTAAGATACATATCTTAAATATATATATATATATATATATATATATATATATATTTAAGATAATTTTAAGATATTTTTTATATCTTAAAGTGTAATATTAATTCAACTCATGACGATTTGACCTGTGTTTTAAGTGTTTCATTAGATTTCTCATATATTGGACAAAGAAACATTTAAATACTCGCATTAAAGAACACAAAAATAATATAGAATTACATGAGAGTAATCACTCAGTTATAAGTAAATATAGAGTTGATTTTAAACATGAATTTGACTGGGAAAATTTGAAGCTTTTACTACATAACGAAAGACACAAAAAAAGAGAGCTAGTTGAAATGTTTTTATAAAAAAAGTTAACAATACTTTAAACGCTCAAAAAGACAACCTAAACACTATTATGATAAGGTCATTAGAATCGTTTAATTTGTATTGTATTAACGAATGGCTTATATACCGACGAGATGTCGTAAGAGACGCAAGTTTTCGTATACATATAATGATAGATATGGTCTTAAGAACTCGCACTACTTTAATTATATTGTCATCTTAAATGGATTGTAAGTTTTTAATTTTACTTTTTCTTTTTACTTTTCTGTTTTGTTTAATCTCGTATAATTGATATAATTGCCTTTGTTGTATTTGAATGTTCAGAATCATTTGATGAAGACCTAAAACGTCATGAACTAAATTAATAAAAAATCTTTTCAGTCGAGTATTGGTCGTTTTATAAATTTAATAAGTTTTAATTTTATTTCTTACTGGCGACTATGATACACAGTTAATAATCAATTAACATATACATCAAAATAATTTAAAAATAATATAATTAAAATTATTAGAATAAAAATGAAAACATTAATGCAAAAATATTTAACACTGCTACAAGAATTAAAACTATGTTTTGGTTGATGTAATAAAATAAAATAATAAAAAAAGTTTTATTATTTTAATAAATAACTAATAATAAAGTATTTTATTTATTATTTTTATTAAAACTATTAATATTTTAATTAACAATTTAAATGCACTTTTACAATTAAATTAATTAAATTATTTATTGTTTATCGTTATACATGTAAAGACTTTAGGTGGTATCAATAATTATTAACAATAATTCTAGTGTACTATTAATAATTTTTCACAATTCGCCTGCCTTCTTATAATTGTATCATATGTTTCAATTAATTTATATTTAAAATCAGACATTGAATTATAAAAGAAAATCAAAAAAATTCAACAAAATACACTGGTCAAGAAAACAACACGCAATATCCGCGTAAATTCAAATAAACGTATCCCCGCGAAAAATTATTGTATTTGAAAAAAATTTTTTTTTAAAGAGTGAAATCTCTATTTTAAGAAACTTTCATTTGATTTTGGTTTCATTTTCTCCCCGCTTTCCATCCTTTTAAAAAGTAAGGTGTTTTTTTTAAATTGCAAAATTTGACGAACTCTACGAAGTGAAATAAATTTTTTTCGCAAATTTTATCAAAATTTTTGTAAAATATGGACTTTTTCCTACATATTAAAAAAAAGCAAAGTTTGTATGATTTCTTTTTGGCAGAGTTATGGCATATCAAAGTTATCTATGCATTTTTGTGCAATTATCTAATGTATAAAAAAAATTAAAAAATGTATGATCCATACATTTGAAGAGAAAAATGTCGAACTCGCGATCTTAAACCACGTTTACGTAAACGTCTTCTAATTGTTTAATCACTGATTCTGTGAGGGAGATCTTCATTAGTAATTTGTCACGCAATCATCGTTGGTGCACGTTGAGTATCGCTAATGCTGGTAATAATTGCACAAAAATGCATAGATAACTTTGATATGCCGTAACTCTGCCGAAAAAATCGAACTTTGTTTTTTTTTAATTTGTAAGAAAAAGTCCATATTTTACGAAAATTTAGATCAGATTTGCGAAAAAAATGTATTACCCCGTAGAGTCCATCAAAATTTACAATTTTTTTAAAAAAAACACACCTTACTTTTTAAAGGGGTGGAGAGAGGAGAAGAGGATGAAATCAAAAATCAAACGAAAATTTCTTAAAGTAAAAACTTCACTCTTTAAATAAAAAAAAATTTTTTCAAATATGATAATTTTTCGCAAAGATACGCTTATTTGAATTTACACGAAATTTTGATATTACTTGCGTGTTGCGATAATTGTTTTGCTCAACGTATATAAGATTGTTACCAACGCGAAAACTTGGGAGTTTTCCAGAGATATTGACCTAGTACTCGATTCACAATAAAAATATATATATATATATATATATATATTTATAGTAATTTGAATTAATACACACAACTTATCGAAGTTCTTCTCTGTCACTATGCACTAAACTCGCAAGAATACTTTTACATTAGTAAAAGAGTAAAAGTGTGAAGGAACATTAAATTAAGACAATAACAGGAATATATTGATTTAATGTATTTGTTGAATAATACACAAACTATATTAAATATTGAAGAGTATTTGAGAATTGTATTAAGTATCAAATATTATACATATAACAAAAATATCATAGAAATATTAGTAAAATATTTAGAGGATTATTGTTATATCGATTATTTTGAATATAAAAAAATTCGTATAAACGTGTATCAATTCTCAATGAATGCGGAAATTATGACTGTTTGGCACACACACATTTTCGAATTAGGTCATATTTTGGAAATAAATAAAAGATAAATACAAAAAGAGAAGACAAATATAAAAGATAAATTGATTTATATATAAATTTTTATTGATAATACTGTTCTCATAAAAGGACGACAAGATGACTTCAGAAAAACAACACTATTACAAGAATTGCAAAGTGCATTGAAGTATTCTATACATATGAATTTTCGAACATTTATTGTGAACTGTAAATTACTCTAGTTTACAGTCAAAAATTATTTTAAACCAGACAAAGTGTTTTTATAGATTTTTGGGTACTGAAAACGATGTTGCAAACTAAATTTCATGAACACATCAAATTTCCAAAATAATTGATTTAATATGTAAAAAATGACTTTTTGCGATATTTGAGATTTTTTTGTAAAAAAAAACATCTAAAAATTGTGAAATCATGAATGTATTGTTCAATCCCTATAAAATGCATTTTTTAAATTTTATTAGCTTACTTTTTAGTCATGTTATAAAAGTTTAAAGCTGGAAATTACTTATATGGAGATATGCTCCTGAAGAAAAAAAGCTTTTTGGAATTTTTTCCAAAATTAATTTTATTATTATTTGTTCCTCTTATCGTTAGAACATACAATTTTTGTCTGTAAAATTTTTTCGAAAATACACTTGTTTCGAAAAATTTAAGATAGCCAATTAAAATAAGATATTCTATACATACAACATATAAATATATACATTTAGTAATCTATAATAAATTACTGTGTATGTGTTTCGATAGTCTTAAACTACAAATTATGAGTATAAATATGACTTCATCATAAGACAAAATACATATTTGCTATCTCAGCAAAACTCTGTATTTAAATCCTCCCTAATCATGATTAAAAAGTATAAGATATCAAAATTAAAAATTTATTTTATAGAGGATAAACAATAATTTAGATGACATCTAATCAGAATTTTCAGTTTATACATAACTTTTTTCACACAAAATCTCAAATATTTGCAATTGTCATTTATTATACCTTAAATTTATTTCGGAAACCTTACGTGCTGAAAATTGGCTTGCAATATGGTTTTCAGCATTCAAAAATCTATAAAAGAACACCTTGTTTGGTTTATAAATTCATTATAAAATAATGAAAAAAAATGTTTTGTAAACTATAATGTTATTTACATTTTGTATCATTCAAAGAGTATCATTTCAATAAATACAAGTAATAATAAGTCATTTATTGTTCTTTAATATCTTTCATAATGGCTTTATGCCAGCTATAAACAACTGTTAATTAAGAATTAGACATATATTTATATAAATTTTTTACACAGAATAATCGATGTATTAGGTCCTTGAATAAGTTCTCGCTGTTTCTTAAAAGATGGCGTAGCGGCACTCTGTGCATGGAATTTCGTACGGAAACGCATCAGCTAAGTAGTACTATATGTAACCTCAAATTCTAGTAGATACAGTTTACCACAGTGTCAACCACGTGTTTAATTACCTATTGCGAAAATGTCTACTTTTGTGCCAAATAAAGTGTTTTTGCGGGGAATTTTATTGCACTGCTTTATTCAAAAGAAATCTGCAGCTGAAGCACACAGAATTCTTGTTGAAACATATGGTGACAATGCTCTGTCGAATACGACATGCAGAGACTGGTTTAGGCGCTTTAAAAATAATGACTTTGACCTTGAAGATAAAGAACGTTCTAGAGCACCGACAAAGTTTGAAGACGAAGAATTGGAGGCATTGCTGTGTGGTCTCTAATGATGGACAATACTTTGAGTAAAGTTATTGTAAGCCTTATATTTTAAATAAATGTTTTTTTTTAACAAAAAAAACAGCGAGAACTTATTCAAGGACCTAATATATTACAACCTCCCAAAATATTTACTATCCCTCCTGAAACCCTGTATATATACATATATCAAATATTCAAAATTTCTAAATATGAGTACAAATGTTGGAAAATCTTCGGATTAAATTAACACCGGAAACAGTATTACGTAATGAAATTGATAGTCTCTCATAAATCACGGTATGGTAACTGGCAAAAATCTTGTCCTATCGCCAACTTTTGGTTCAAATCGTAAATTCACTTTTTCGCTAGCATCGTCACCAACTTCGAGAAAGGTATTCCAATCGACGAGAAAATATAGGCCGCTTCTTCGCTTAGTTGGTAAAACCGGATCTGGTGCACGAGTTGTACCACCAAAGGACTCCTCTAGCGCCGCAAGATTTACACTTGATGTTGATGACTCATCTGAGTTACTCTTCGCCGAATCTGGAGTTATTGGAGTTATTAGCGTAGTCGTCGGGGTCGTCGTCGTCGAGGAAACGTCTACAGATTCTGCCAATAACAAGATCCATGATAAAATTTCATATTTTGCGCATTTCACATCTCAAATAATTTTGAAAGGCATGCTTCACAATGAAGATTATGAAAAACGGTTAAAAGCATTATTAACAACACTAATAAATTTTGTGATTGTTAATATTAATCCCCCCTCCCCACCCCACCCCCACCCCACCCCACTCTCTCTCTCTCTCTCTCTCTCTCTCTCTCTCTCTCTCTCGCTAACTTAAAAAATAATTAATAATGTCAAAAGCATAAAATATATCGGTACAAAATCACATTTGTAAAGAAAACATTGGTAATAAAAAAAGGCGCCCAATATGGACTCACCAGTAGTCAAAATTTACCCATTGCAAACCTATGTAGAATCCTATGAAAAATTAACCAGATGCAAACCCATGTAAAATCGTACTTATGTAGAATCGTACTACAAAAGTAATGATATCAAAAACCTATATAGAGTCGTATAATGAACTAGTAAAAAATAACAAAATTTTAGTTAAAAAAACTTGGCGCGCTGCTAAATAATATCCTATAATGATATTAAAATTAAATTGTTACTTTAAAACTTATTGCAGTTAAAATATATTTTGTAGTTAAATTAATTAATGTTATTTTAAGGTGCATTGTAATTTTGAAACTTAGCAGCGCGCCAAATTTTTTTAACTAAAATTTTTTTTATTTTTTACTGGTTCATTATACGACTCTATATAGGTTTGCAACTTTAATTTTCCACTGGTACAAGTTTCTACTTTCACTTGGCGCAATTTTTTTATTTTTTATTTTTTATTTTTTAATATCATTACTTTTGTAGTACGATTCTACATAAGTACAATTCTACATGGGTTTGCAATGGTTAAATTTTTATAGGATTCTATCTATGATTCGCAACAAATTCAAGTCAGAATGCTATTCACAACATGTCGTACAACGCAAAAAAACATTTTTAAACATGTGAAATACACATAAATCAAAATATACAGGATGTCCAATAATAATCTCACCTCTGCAGGTTAAACTGATGTAGGAATAAAATCCTTTATCTTTTTTGCGATTTTGCAATAATTAATAAAATTAGTTCACATAATAAAAAAATTAATTCACAGAAGTGATGCGGTTATTATCGAACATCATGTATATATACGAATAAGAGGAAGCCTGCATGCAAACATTTGGTTTTAAGGATTGTTACTTTACAGATCAATTATACGCCAAAACACAAATCGAGAGTTTTTTCAGACGTTAAAATATATATATATATATATATATATATATATATATATATGTATGTATGTATGTATGTATATAATGTCAATTATATATATAATTATAATTATATAATTTCAATTATATATTCTTATTTTATTATAAGGACACTAAATGTGCAATTAAATGCAATTTAATTTTGATTACCTGAATAAGATGTACTTATAATTCGAAATTATTATTATATGTATACATATATAATTGTTATTATATGTATACAGAGTGTCCAAAATATCGTCTGCCACACTTCAGGAGGTGATTCGAGACAAAAAAAAAAGAAAAAAAGTTATATAAACATAGGTCCACAAATAAGTCGTTTCCGAGTTATAATTTTTAGTCCGCTTGGCATCCCTCTTTTTTAATTTTTTCTCAAATTAACATTTTAATTTTTTAATTTTTATTTGTTACGTTATTTAATTTTCAATTTTGATTTTTATTTAATTTTAAATTTTTATTTTAATTTTTTTTCAATTTTAATTTTTTTTAGTTTTTTTTCAATTTTTCGATATACTTTTAAATACGTTTACATTATCTTTAAAAAATATAAAATTTTAATTTTAAAAAAGGTTAAGAAAAAAGGATGCCAACGGACTATATAAATTACAATTTTTTTAACATAAAAATGGTTATAACTCGGATACGAACCTATATTTATATAACATTTTTTCTTCTTTTTCCGTCCTCAAATCTCTCGAAGTGTGGCAGGCGATTTTTTTGGACACCCTATATATTAATAAGTTTCTTAAAAAGTATATATTAAGGTTACGTTAGGTTATAGGCAGGGTTGGAAAGTAACGCGTTACTTGTAACGCAGTATCGGTACAGTTAACGGTGTTACAAATTTTATTTGTAACGGAAAAAGTAACTTCTTTACATTTTTTGGTAACTAGTAATTAATTTAACCGTTACTTTTATCGTTACTTTTTCCGAATTTATCGGTAATTATCTAGAGTAACTAGCAATGACCTATTTAACATAAAATGTTTAAAAATGTTTATTAAGTGTTTATTTTGATTTTTTTATTAAAAAAAATTTGTTTTATACAGGACAGCCCGTAGGAAATTACTGAAACTAATCAGCTGTCATTTTTTAATGCATGCAGTTATTGGAGAAAACAAAAATTGTGTTGAAAAAACGAAAGTCTGCAATTTTTAATAATGGATATAAATAAAATGTTTGTATACCAGATTATTTTATTGATAAAAAGTAATGAAAAAAGTGCTAATAATCATATAAAATTACATAAATTAATGATAAATATTTTCAACAGTGCCAGATTTAATAGCAGCTATTAAAAGGACCGTGCAATAACATTAAAAATGACATATTAAAAAGTTTTTATGAGTTTTCGTAAAAGACCAGAATTTTGTACAAATTCAAATAGTACGCACTTCGAAAATATTTATCATTAGTTTACATAAACTAATTTTTTTTTTCAATAAAATAAACTGGTATATAAACATTTTATTATTGTACATATAAGTTAATGTAATTGCATGCATTAAAAATGACAGCTGATTAATTTCAGTAATTTCCTATGGGACACCCTACATATAAGTTTATTATATATAAAAAAGAAAAAAATAACGAAAATTGTAACGACTCGTTACCTTTTAAATAACTGTAACGGTAACGAATTACTTTTTAGAAAAAAATAACGGTAACGATAACGAGTTACTTTTATAGAGTAACTTTTCCAACCCTAGTCATATATTACATTACCAAAATCTATTGCATCACATATTAAAATTGTAAATTTTTAATTGATTTGAAATATATAAGTAATGGAATAAACTGTACAATTATAAATCATATGTCTATTAACAATAAAATTTAAAGTACATAACATTATTTTTTACTAATCTCTACTTATTCATATTTTAAATTCAATCCCATATAGCACCATGTCCAAAATTGATGCCTAAGACATCTTTAAATGCTTTTAAGGCCTAGTTTATACCGATATACTTTGATACGCGTATTAATTAATTACAACTGACCAATCATAGTCATTCTATTCTTTAGAAGAATGGCTGTGATTCGTCAGTACGGCGTTTGATACGTGTATCAAATAATCGGTGTAAACTAAGCCTAAGATGTCTTTGAAATATCATATCATAAGATTTCTTAAAGATGTCTTAAAGATTTTGTAATGATGTTTTATGCCCCAATTTTAGACATGGTGCTATCTGGGATAGCATCCAAATTATGTTAAAAATATGTTAAATAATCAGTCAATTTATATCATTTTGATATACTAATATCTTTTATGCTATAAATTCGTAAAATTTTTTTCTCGTAATACAAAGTTAGATTCAAGCGGTTAAATAATTGGATAAATAAAGCACAAATTGAAGTGGAAGCGGAAGTTGTAGCTATATAAAGATCATGCTGAGGAGAGAGAGAAATGTAGCAAAATATGTAGATCTAATCTACTAAAAAAAATATAATTTAATCGAAAGATCGCCTAAACGTATCCTCTATATTGATTAGCATGCGCCTGATCCTTGTCAGACCCTGAATAAGTTGTTTAACCCAAGATTCCGATATGCCCAAAACGGATATCATAAATCTTTTTATACCGGTGGTTGTCGTCTTCGTGAGATCTTCATCGCCAATATTGATTGTCTTATTAGTAGTTTCTTTGGGGTTTTGTCTTTTCACTTCATTCTTTATGTCCTCATTATTGATCCTAATAAGCTCTTCTAAATATAATGGATCTGGACCATTCTTTAAAGTTTTTGTGTTTACGAGTAGATCATCGGCTATCCTTTGCACATCCTTCGAATTTGCCTTTCCCTCTTGAACAAATCTGTTAATAGTATCCAATAGCTCGTTGATCCTCATCCTTTGCCTCTCGTCTTTCACTTCGACTTCATGAGGTTTAAACACATGAAACTTGGTTGAGTCTTTTGGTTCTATAGCCTCCATTTTCGGTGTTGTTTTCGACACCTTGGGAGAAATAAGACCTATGTTCTCCAAAATTTTCCGCATATTATCCGGCACAACCTCAATTAACGATGGCCGTTCTGTCGTTCTCGGCGCCGACATAGCCTTTTTCTGCCTAGTATCACCAATGCCAAGACCGAACTTTGCTAAAAACTCTTTCATATCCTCATTTTTTATCTTAGATGTCGGTAATGGCTTGAAATTGGTATAGGAATTTGTGTTCATGGTTGTTCTAGGCGAAGACGTTGTAGTTGTTACCAGATTGGATGGATTTTGCAGACCAAATCGTTGAAAAAGTAACTGTACATCCGGCGTAAGATTGTTCATTCCTTTTCCAATCTCGAGGACGGGATTTTCAAAAGTATTTTGAGCAGTTATCGAAGATGAATCGGATCCAACACCCGTCAGACCGGAAATTGGCGTATAAACCAAGCCGTTGCTATTGGGAATCTCGGATTTGCTTTTCAATGATTGGTTTTTTCTAAATACTTCCTCCACATTCGTAGAATTTTCCGGTCGAAGTCCAATCGAGGCAAGCAATTCCATCACTTCTGGTCGCATCGTAGTTGTTGTGATTGTACGAGAGAGAAATCCTCCAGAATTCAAGCTATAAGTGGAATTGTATTTCAAATTTTCTGCAGAAGAGAGAGAAGAAGAAAGGAAAGGTATTAATGTTGTGTGTGTGTGTGATTGCTTGGTATCCGTCATTTGTATGTCATCTAAAGCGGATGTTTTCGCCGGTGTCGAACTTTCGGTCACACTTGGTGCGTTGTAACGCCATTGGTCAACAGATAAAACATTTTCCTTGTACTTGAAAGGACGAGATGTTTGTAACTCTATTAAATCGCTTGTCGAAGCATCTTCCTTAGAACTCGTCCTTGTAGGTTGCATCGTTGTTGTGCGAACGTGTTTTAGGTTTGTGTGAGCACTTGTACTGTACACTATGTGGACCTCTTTATTCCTAATTGATGAAGATTCTTCCCGAAATACTGGTTGTCTAGTAGTAGTAATTATGGGTGTCTCGCTGATTGCCTGTTGCTTTTGCAAATTATCGAAATTGAGACTAAATTTCACTGGGGCCGATTCAAGTTTCGGGGTTTCCTTCATCAATGGCATTTCCGAAAATTTATCCGTCTCTCTGTGATTTTTATATCGTATTTTCGGGAAGAAATCTTCTCTCTCCGAGACTTGTGTCGCTATTAAATTTTCAAAAGATTGTATTTCCTGCGTGGAGGATGCATCGGATTGTTCTTCGGTTTTCGACACTTTGAAATCTTCCGAATTAGAAGAAAAAGAGTCTGCGATTATTTTAACTATTGGCGGTTTCGTATATAAATCTTTAATATTTTCCTTTGCGTCTTTTGCATTGTACGGTAAAACTACCATCAACGCCCTTTCATAAATCTTTCTTGCTTTCTCGATTGTTTCCTTATTCTTGAGTGCCTCTGTATCTTTGGGCGATGTAATATTTAAAAGAATATCGACGATCTCACGTCTAGTGAGATGCGACAAAGTCGAATTCTGACGAATCAATTGTTCCACTTCGTTGATCGTTTGATTACTCAAGTTTTGAACTTCGATTCTTGATTTGTTTGTATGTGGAAGACCATTGCCATGACATAAACCAAAGGCGATCAGCATACACAATAATGCAATCTAAAAAAAATAACAGTTTCGAATTACATCTGAATTATGCGACAAAAATTATAAAAATAAATGCATGACATTTTTATTGTAATTATTATACAAATTTGAAAAAAAATTGCAATAAATTTTAGATAAAATATTATTAGTATTTTAACATCATTATGTGAAGTAATATTGTATAGTTTAGGTATCCAATACTTCAATGGTTTTCAGAATAGTTACATTATAAATTCAAAACACTAATATTAATCAAACTTAATCAACACTAAACTTAATCAAAATTAGTTTGTATCCAATACTTCAATGGTTTTCAGAATAGTTACATTATAAATTCAAAACACTAATATTAATCAAACATAATGAACTGTAACTAATATGAAGAAATAATGAACTGTAACTAATATTAATATAAAATTTTTTTAAATATGCTTAAATGTACCAAAAACATCACGTTTAACAAAAACATTTGAATAAAAATTTCTGGTTTTGAAGGGGAAAGAAATTGACGATATTACCTTTTTGTAAAGAATTATTTTCAAAATAATTTGAAGATCATTTATTAATAAAAGGCCTTAACTTTTTTATATAAATTAATATTCTTTTCATTGTAAATTAATTTCTCACAATATTTATTATAAAAATTATAAGGATAAAATGGCCAAAAATTGAATAGTATATATTTTATGATTTAAGGGGATCCTAAATGATGTTTTTACCGACCGAATGCGAGAATATTTATTTTTTTCATATAACTTTTTATTGACTATAATGATCAATAAATCCTTTTCCACGATTAAAGTACTTATAAAAACGGACCGCGCTAGCTATGTTTGCATATATAAATCATATAAAAATCAAAAATTACAGTTTTGTTATCGGCTGCTTTGTGTCAGTTCGTAATAATACTTATTTAATAAAAAAAGTTTTGCAGTTTGTCTGTGCATGAAATATAGTATGCGCGGTAAGGATTATATGAAGAAATATTAGTAAGCAATTAAAAGTGAGATTGCAAGTCTAATAAAAAAGTTATATATAAAAAAACATTTCACGCATATGTGTGTGTGCAAATCGAGGCTGCGGAATAAAACAGAGCAGTAGATTAGTTGCGTGATATCGTGATAGATGGAGCTGCAACGTGTTTTCTCTCTCTCTCTCTCTTTCTCTCGCTCTCTCTCTTTCTGTTTTTTATAAGGTCTGTTCGTTTTGGCTACACTGGCCACATTAGTTCAGAGGTTGTCTTTTTTGTTCGACATTGGAAGGAAAAAGATAACCTCTGAATTAGTGTAGCCAATGTATGCCATTATATATTTTATGTTTGATAATATAAATAATACATCAATTTTTTTCTATAAAAAACTATATATAAAACAGAAAAAATTTTGTGTTATTTATATTATCAAACACATGAAATATATAATGACATACAATTTTATTTTAATTATATTTGTATAATACAATAATATTCACATGATTTTTATAGATAATAAGTATATGCATTTATAATTTATAAAAACTAAATCTTATTTTTCATACATCGAAGTAATTCGAGTAATGATTTTACTGAAATATATATTTGATAGACATTGTGATTCTAACGAATTTTATTTGTTCGCATATACCTGTAAATTTTTATAAAAATTACTTTTACTGTAAATGTAAGATAAATTGTATGCAATCTATAAAACAAAAGAGAGAGACAGAGAGAGAGAGAGAGAGAGAGAGAGAGAGAGAGCGAGCTTTTTTTCTTTCCCGAAAATAGAGACATTCAATGCAAACGGTGAATTATTGTATATCTCTTTACGACACGTACAGCCGAGGAAAAATTTTTTATATATAATTATATAAAATAATTGTATAATTATACATATAATTTTGCGATTATATATATAAAAATTACAATTATTTTAATATAATTATATATAAAAAATTTTTTCCCGGGTGTATGTGTCGTAAAGAAATATATGTATAATTGATCGTTTGCATTGAATGTCACTATTTTTTGAAAAGTAAAAAAAGAGAGCTCTCTCTCTCTCTCTCTCTCTCTCTCTTTCTTGATCCTTTATGCTTATTGTTAGTATTCTATCAATTAGTAATCAATGCAATCAATCATATCGTTTTACGGCAACAGCCAGTTACTCGTTCACTCACTCATTCATTCTTTTAAAATATGTCCATTTTTATACATAATTATGTAAATTTATATATAAAAATAAGGGTGCATATATAATCATGTCAAATTTGTATATAAAACATATATATTTATATATATAAAGAAATACTTATTTATTACACTTGTATATATAATATATATATATATATATATATATATATAATATAAATTTATATATTATATATAACAAGCACTTTTACTTAATTATGTATAGACATATTTATAATATAATTCTGCGATTATACGTATACTTTTATATATTTCTATATAATGTATATTATTATATACACAAATTTTTGTCCGGGGTATTTTAAACTTTTATTTTCTTTTTCTTTCCCCATTCTTGTCTGTCTTTACATGCATGTTATTATGTTGTATGTGTATCATGTATAATTTGGATTTGTATGTATGTTGAGAAGATTGGAATAGATAAAATTTTATTACTTCATGTTTTTATATATAAATGCAGCTTTTTGTAAATATCCGAAATAAATAATTTTTCTACAAATATTTTAAATTTATCAAAATATTTTTTACTGCACAATTAGACTAATATATTTGCATTATTCTATCTTTATTAATTTTTTCATAATAAAATGGATTTTATTGAACAAATAATAAATAGTAAATAGAGAAAATATAAAATATCGAAAAGAATATATCATATAAACATATATTTGTGAAATCGAAATTTTGTTAAAATTGACTTTCATAGAAATTGTATTTTATAAATTTAATTAAAAAAAGCTGCATTTATCAGATAGAAACATAAAGTAATAAAATAATATATTCCAATCTTCTCAACACACACACACACACACACAACACACACACGCACACAACTTCTTATAACAAATGTTATATAAATTATACATATACAGGATGTAACAACGATCATATATCAGGAGTTTTTAGAAGAAAATACGTATTTTATTGAAAAATGTTTTATTACCAAAGTTATAAGGGTTACTTATCATTACATAGTAGTATTAGTATTATGTTGAATAGCATTATCAAAGTCACATAAAGATTATTTGGAAATAATGGAAACCCTCATTTTTTATTGCATGTACATACATGTAGCTTACTTTGAGAGCTTTCTAAATAAATTTTTCATTCTGTGCATGCAATAAAAATGAGGGTTTCCATTATTTCCAAATAATCTTTATGTGACTTTGATAATGCTATTCAACATAATACTAATACTACTATGTAATGATAAGTAACCCTTATAACTTTGGTAATAAAACATTTTTCAATAAAATACGTATTTTCTTCTAAAAACTCCTGATATATGATCGTTGTTACATCCTGTATATGTATAATTTATATAACATTTGTTATAAGAAGTTGTGTGCGTGTGTGTGTGGGTGTGTGTGTGTGTGTGTGTGTGTGTGAGAAGATTGGAATATATTATTTTATTACTTTATGTTTCTATCTGATAAATGCAGCTTTTTTAATTAAATTTATAAAATACAATTTCTATGAAAGTCAATTTTAACAAAATTTCGATTTCACAAATATATGTTTATATGAATATATTCTTTTCGATATTTTATATTTTCTCTATTTACTATTTATTATTTGTTCAATAAAATCCATTTTATTATGAAATAAATTAATAAAGATAGAATAATGCAAAATATATTAGTCTAATTGTGCAGTAAAAAATATTTTGATAAATTTAAAATATTTGTAGAAAAATTATTTATTTCGGATATTTACAAAAAGCTGCATTTATAATATAAAAACATGAAGTAATAAAATTTTATCTATTCCAATCTTCTCAACATACATACAAATCCAAATTATACATGATACACATACAACATAATAACATGCATGTAAAGACAGACAAGAATGGGGAAAGAAAAAGAAAATAAAAGTTTAAAATACCCCGGGACAAAAATTTGTGTATATAATAATATAACATTATATAGAAATATATAAAAGTATACGTATAATCGCAGAATTATATTATGAAATATGTCTATACATAATTAAGTAAAAGTGCTTGTTATATATAATTATATAAAATTTATATATATATATATATATATATATATATATACAAGTGTAATAAATAAGTATTTCTTTATATATAAAAATATATATGTTTTATATACAAATTTGACATGATTATATATGCACCCTTATTTTTTATATATAAATTTACATAATTATGTATAAAAATGGACATATTTTAAAAGAATGAATGAGTGAGTGAACGAGTAACTGGCTGTTGCCGTAAAACGATATGATTGATTGCATTGATTACTAATTGATAGAATACTAACAATAAGCATAAAGGATCAAGAAAGAGAGAGAGAGAGAGAGAGAGAGAGCTTCTTTTTTTACTTTTCAGAAAATAGTGACATTCAATGCAAACGATCAATTATACATATATCTCCTTACGACACATACAACGCGGGAAAAATTTTTTATATATAATTATATTAAATAATTGTGTAATTATAATTTTGCGAAAAATAACAAAAATTGGGTACATGCTAAAAATGTAGCATGTAGACACCCTATATATACATATTTGTAAACAAATCGTGTGCGCGCAATGACATATATTTGCGCGGGATGGTTCACTTGTCACGCGGTACGTACTATACGTGCTTACACGCAGTGCGCGACTCGACCGTTATAACGTGTGATAACGTGTCGAATATTGTGATAGATAGACATACTGTGATTTTAAAAGTAATATTTTATATTTATTAAATATATAGTGTATAATGGGTGCAAACAAAAATAAACGTTTGCCCCTATCTGGTCGCAGATTGAGTAGAAAGGGAGCATGTTTTAAAAGGTTAGTATTATGTCATAT